TAATATATAAATAATAATATATAAACAATAATATATAAATAATAAAATATAAATAATAAAAAGAAGAATCCAAAGAAGAACAAGAACAAAATATTAAGGTAAGAATAACAATATAGCAATAATAATAATAATGGTAATAACAATCAACAATAACTCTGATAGTAGTAATAGTAATGATCATAAAGCTATCCAAGACATGTCAACACCAGGAATTCTTAAACACACAAATACTCAAGCAAACCAAGAAGCGCCTCACCTTCAGGATCTTCTCGTCGCAGCCCCGGCAGACGGCCCTCCCGCTCTTGGCGTACTCGGCCGTGAAGTCATTGGCGCCTCCTTTGGCTTTCCCTTTGCCCTTCTTGCCTCCCTTCCCTCCTGTGTCAGGGGGGCCACCACCCCCCGAACCTGCGTTTTCTGGTGGGCAAGAAAGTCTGTTAGCACTTGGGGATGTAAGGAATTAAGTAAGTAATTGAGTGAGTGAGTGAGATAAGTGAGTGAGTGAGTGAGTGAGATAGGAGGAAAGGAAAGGAAGTATTTCGGTATGCATTTCTTGTTTGATGGCATTATAGACCGCACTGGTATAGAGCTTTCTTAAGAACCATGATGTAATGGAAGGCAACAATATGGATTGTGTGGTTGAATTTAGTTGGTCTTTTAAACTTGTAAGAAAAATGGCTCTTCCATATCGAAAAACACACACACACACACACACACACACACACACACACACACACACACACACACACACACACACACACACACACACACACACACACACACACACACACACATAATATATTAAAAACAGCATCAGAAATACGAGTTTAAAAATCCCCCTTAATTTCTTCATCACATCTGTCACCGACTCACTCTTATCAACAATCTTTCTTTTTTGAATATCACTATTTTTTTCCCCCCAATCAACATCAACAGCAAAGACAAATGCCAGCAACTCACCAATGGCAGTTTTGATCTTCTCCTGGTCTTCCCATCGCACGGCGTCGAAGTTTGCAATATCGGCCACAGTCTTCGGGCGCTGTTTTATGAAGAAGCACTTCTGGTGGTACCAATTGGGCACCTTCCCGTCGAACATGGGCGACTGAGGGAGAGGGAAGGAGGGTGGAATTATAATGTCCGAGCCCAAAGTGACGGGAGTTTTCTTTCCCTTTTTGCTTTGTAACCCTATTCTGTGAAAAAACGTGATTCGCTACTTCCTGTTTTTGAGGAAAGGTGGCCAACTGCCCCTAATTTTCCTTTCTTCCCAGATTCTCTCTCTTTCAAAGGTTTGATTCTTTTTCCTCTCTCTCTCTCTATCTTTATCCCAATCTCTTTTTCTTTCTCTATCCCTCTCTCTATCTCTATCTCTCTCTGTATCTCTATCTCTTTTTATCCCTATGTATCTATCACTGCATCTCTATCTCTCTGTATATCTATCTATCTCTCTGTATCTCTCTATCTATCTCTCTGTATCTCTCTATCTATCTCTCTGTATCTCTCTATCTATCTCTATCTATCTCTATCTATCTCTCTATCTCTATCTATCTCTCTATCTATCTCTAACTATGTATCTATCTCTAACTATCTCTCTATCTATCTCTATCTATCTCTATCTATCTCTCTATCTATCTCTATCTATCTCTCTATCTATATCTATCTATCTCTCTATCTATATCTATCTCTCTATCTATCTCTCTATCTATCTCTATCTATCTCTCTATCTCTATCTCTCTGTATCTCTCTATCTATCTCTCTGTATCTCTATCTATCTCTCTATCTATCTCTATCTATCTCTCTGTATCTCTCTATCTATCTCTCTGTATCTCTCTATCTATCTCTCTGTATCTCTCTATCTATCTCTCTGTATCTCTCTATCTATCTCTCTGTATCTCTCTATCTATCTCTCTGTATCTCTCTATCTATCTCTGTATCTCTCTATCTATCTCTGTATCTCTCTATCTATCTCTCTGTATCTCTCTATCTATCTCTCTGTATCTCTCTCTCTATCTCTCTGTATCTCTCTATCTCTCTATATCTCTCTCTCTATCTCTCTGTATCTCTCTCTCTATCTCTCTGTATCTCTCTCTCTATCTCTCTCTATCTCTCTCTCTATCTCTCTGTATCTCTCTCTCTATCTCTCTGTATCTCTCTCTCTATCTCTCTGTATCTCTCTCTCTCTATCTCTCTCTCTATCTCTCTGTATCTCTATCTATCTCTCTGTATCTCTCTATCTCTCTGTATCTCTCTCTCTATCTCTCTGTATCTCTCTCTATCTCTCTCTCTATCTCTGTATCTCTCTCTCTATCTCTCTGTATCTCTATCTATCTCTCTGTATCTCTCTGTATCTCTCTCTCTATCTCTCTGTATCTCTCTCTATCTCTCTCTCTATCTCTCTGTATCTCTCTATCTATCTCTCTGTATCTCTCTATCTATCTCTCTGTATCTCTCTATCTATCTCTCTGTACCTCTCTATCTATCTCTCTGTACCTCTCTATCTATCTCTATGTATCTCTCTATCTATCTCTATGTATCTATGTATCTCTCTATCTATCTCTATGTATCTCTATCTATCTCTATGTATCTCTCTATCTATCTCTATGTATCTCTCTATCTATCTCTATGTATCTCTCTATCTATCTCTATCGTATCTATCTCTATCTATCTCTCTATCTATCTCTATCTATCTCTCTATCTATCTCTATCTATCTCTCTATCTATCTCTATGTATCTCTCTATCTATCTCTATGTATCTCTCTATCTATCTCTATGTATCTCTCTATCTATCTCTATGTATCTCTCTATCTCTATGTATCTCTCTATCTATCTCTATGTATCTCTCTATCTATCTCTATGTATCTCTCTATCTATCTCTATGTATCTCTCTATCTATCTCTATGTATCTCTCTATCTATCTCTATCTATCTCTCTATCTATCTCTATGTATCTCTCTATCTATCTCTATCTATCTCTCTATCTATCTCTATCTATCTCTCTATCTATCTCTATGTATCTCTCTATCTATCTCTATGTATCTCTCTATCTATCTCTATGTATCTCTCTATCTATCTCTATGTACCTCTCTATCTATCTCTATGTACCTCTCTATCTATCTCTATGCATCTCTTTCTATGCATCTCTCTATGTATCTCTCTCTCTCTCTCTCTCTTTCTCTCTAACTAACTATCTATCTATCTATCTATCTATCTATCTATCTATCTATCTATCTATCTATCTATCTATCTATCTATCTATCTATCTCTACATCTATCTATCTCTACATCTATCTATCACTACATCTATCTATCACTACATCTATCTATCTATCTATCTATCTATCTCTATATCTATCTATCTCGATATCTATCTATCTCTATATCTATCTATCTCTATATCTATCTATCTCTATATCTATCTATCTATCTCTGTATCTATCTATCTATCTCTGTATCTATCTATCTATCTCTAAATCTATCTATCTATCTCTATATCTATCTATCTATCTCTACATCTATCTATCTATCTCTACATCTATCTATCTATCTCTACATCTATCTATCTATCTCTATCTCTATCTCTCTATCTATCAATCTATCATTCACACCATTCTCCTCCCATCCCAGTATCCACTCTTCTTTTGAAACTTTTTTTTATGACATGCACAGTCATATTCACCAACTCTCACATTCATATGCCCTCTCCCCTCTCTCACTGATACTCATAGACTTTCACAGTAATTTCACTCAGACACTCTTTTCTGCTCTCTATATATTTCACTCATTCTCAGGGTCTCATTTATCAGTCTCTCTTTCTCTCTTTCTTTCATTTATCTGCTCACTCACTTATTCACTCACTTATTTACTCATTCACTCACCCACTCAATCATTGAATCACTGAATCACTCACTCACTCACTCATTAATTTATTCAACCATTAATTAAATTACTTGCCTACTCACTCACTAATTTACTCCATTCATTCATTCATTCACATATTTCCTCAATTATTCACTCACTCACATATTCACTCACATACCCAATCACTCACTCACTCACTCACTCACTCACATATTCACTCACATACCCAATCACTCACTCACTCACATACTCACTCACTCACTCACATACTCACTCACTCACTCACTCACATACTCACTCACTCACTCACATACTCACTCACTCACATACTCACTCACTCACTCACATACTCACTCACTCACTCACATACTCACTCACTCACTCACATACTCACTCACTCACTCACTCACATACTCACTCACTCACTCACTCACATACTCACTCACTCACTCACTCACATACTCACTCACTCACTCACTCACATACTCACTCACTCACTCACTCACATACTCACTCACTCACTCACTCACATACTCACTCACTCACTCACATACGCACTCACTCACTCACTCACTACTCACTCACTCACTCACTCACTCCTCACTCACTCACATACTCACTCACTCACTCCTCACTCTCTCTCTCTTACCTCACTCACTCACTCACTCACTCAACTCACTCACTCACTCCCTCACTCACTCACTTCACATACTCACTCACTCACATATCACTCACTCACTCATCACTCACTCACTCACTCTCTTCTTACTCTCACTCACTCCTCTCTCTTACTCTCACTCTCACTCACTCACATCTCTCTCTTACTCTCACTCACTCACCTCTCTCTCTTACTCTCACGCACTCACTCTCTCTCTTACTCTCATTCACTCACTCACTCACATCACTCACTCACTCTCCTCTTACTCTCACTCATCACTCTCTCTCTTACTCTCATTCACTCACTCTCTCTCTCTCTCTTACTCTCACCTCACTCACTCTCTCTCGTACTCTCACTCACTCACTACATACTCACTCACTCACTCACTCTCTCTCTACTCTCACTCACTCACTCTCTCTCTTACTCTCACTCACTCACTCGCTCTCTTACTCTCACTCACTCACTCTCTCTCTTACTCTCACTCACTCACTCTCTCTCTTACTCTCACTCACTCACTCTCTCTCTTACTCTCACTCACTCACTCTCTCTCTTACTCTCACTCACTCACTCTCTCTCTTACTCTCACTCACTCACTCTCTCTCTTACTCTCACTCACTCACTCTCTCTCTTACTCTCACTCACTCACTCTCTCTCTTACTCTCACTCACTCACTCTCTCTCTTACTCTCACTCACTCACTCTCTCTCTTACTCTCACTCACTCACTCTCTCTCTTACTCTCACTCACTCACTCTCTCTCTTACTCTCACTCACTCACTCTCTCTCTTACTCTCACTCACTCACTCTCTCTCTTACTCTCACTCACTCACTCTCTCTCTTACTCTCACTCACTCACTCTCTCTCTTACTCTCACTCACTCACTCTCTCTCTTACTCTCACTCACTCACTCTCTCTCTTACTCTCACTCACTCACTCTCTCTCTTACTCTCACTCACTCACTCTCTCTCTTACTCTCACTCACTCACTCTCTCTCTTACTCTCACTCACTCACTCTCTCTCTTACTCTCACTCACTCACTCTCTCTCTTACTCTCACTCACTCACTCTCTCTCTTACTCTCACTCACTCACTCTCTCTCTTACTCTCACTCACTCACTCTCTCTCTTACTCTCACTCACTCACTCTCTCTCTTACTCTCACTCACTCACTCTCTCTCTACTCTCACTCCTACTCTCTCTCTTACTCTCACTCACTCACTCTCTCTCTTACTCTCACTCACTCACTCTCTCTCTTACTCTCACTCACTCACTCTCTCTCTTACTCTCACTCACTCACTCTCTCTCTTACTCTCACTCACTCACTCTCTCTCTTACTCTCACTCACTCACTCTCTCTCTTACTCTCACTCACTCACTCTCTCTCTTACTCTCACTCACTCACTCTCTCTCTTACTCTCACTCACTCACTCTCTCTCTTACTCTCACTCACTCCACTCCTCTCTCTTACTCTCACTCACTCACTCTCTCTCTTACTCTCACTCACTCACTCTCTCTCTTACTCTCACTCACTCACTCTCTCTCTTACTCTCACTCACTCACTCTCTCTCTTACTCTCACTCACTCACTCTCTCTCTTACTCTCACTCACTCACTCTCTCTCTTACTCTCATTCACTCACTCTCTCTCTTACTCTCATTCACTCACTCTCTCTCTTACTCTCACTCACTCACTCTCTCTCTTACTCTCACTCACTCACTCTCTCTCTTACTCTCACTCACTCACTCTCTCTCTTACTCTCACTCACTCACTCTCTCTCTTACTCTCATTCACTCACTCACTCACTCTCTTACTCTCACTCACTCACTCTCTCTCTTACTCTCATTCACTCACTCACTCACTCTCTTACTCTCACTCACTCACTCACTCACTCTGTCTCTCTTACTCTCACTCACTCACTCACTCACTCTGTCTCTCTTACTCTCACTCTCACTCACTCATTCTCTCTCTCTCTTACCCTCACTCACTCACTCACTCACTCACTCTCTCTCTTACTCTCACTCACTCATTCTCTGTCTGTCTGTCTGTCTGTCTGTCTGTCTGTCTGTCTGTCTCTCTCTCTCTCTCTCTCTCTCTCTCTCTCTCTCTCTCTCTCTCTCTCTCTCTCTCTCTCTCTCTCTCTCTCTCTCTCTCTCTCTCTCCCTCCCTCCCTCCCTCCTACTATCACTCACTTTATTTTACTCTCTCATTCTTTCTTTTATTCTTAGTCTCACTCACTCACTCACTCACTCACTCACTCACTTTATCTTACTCTCTCATCCTTTCTTTTATTCTCAGTCACTTTCACTTTCTCTTTCTCTCACCTTCACTAGCACTTTCCTTTCACTCGCACATACTTTTATTTACAAGTAGATTAGACAGGTTCCTTATCTCCAGGGAAGCTAACAAGCTCAATCGCGCCAAAATAAACAAGGCAAAGATTAGTTTGCTTTTGCCGGAGCATTCGACCTTGGCATTTGACTCGGACATAGATGCATATATTTTTACTGATTTTTTCAAAATCAGTAAAAACAACAATAGATTTTCTTGCTTTCACTCTTTCTCTTACTAACTCTCACTGACTCACTCATTCTTTCTCTCTCACTTTCACTTTTATCTCTCTCACCTTCATTTTTGCCTTTCCTCTCACTCACACATACTATTATCTACAAGTAGATTAGACAGGTTCCTTATCTCCAGGGAAGCTACCAAGCTCAATCGCGCCAAAATAAACAAAGCAAAGATTAGTTTGCCTTTGCTGGAGCACAAGCCAAGCAGCAACAGCATCCGACTTAACCACAGATACATACATTCAGATGCTGATATAAAAATTTAGTCTTGCCTCCTATCTTCAATTAAAATATACATTTCTTGGTGGTGTTTTCTGGTCTTTTTTTTCTGCAGCTTCATGCCATCTGATTCTGAATAGCTACTAAATAACCTATGACACAATTTTCTTTTTTTTTAATTAAATAAAAAATTAAAGTAGATTTTCTTACTTTAAGATTACATAGTTCCTCTAAGCTAAGATCAATGTGGTTCAATAAGCTCTTATGGGGAAACCTTGAAATTAAGTACCAAAACATACACTTGTAATATTTAATCATATCAAATTAAGCATGAAATTCAATGTCTCTCTCTCCTCTCTCTCTCTCTCTCTCTCTCTCTCTCTCTCTCTCTCTCTCTCTCTCTCTCTCTCTCTCTCTCTCTCTCTCTCTCTCTCTCTCTCTCTCTCTCTCTCTCTCTCTCTCTCTCTCTCTCTCTCTCTCTCTCTCTCTCTCTCTCTCTCTCTCTCTCTCTCTCTCTCTCTCTCTCTCTCTCTCTCTCTCTCTCTCTCTCTCTCTCTCTCTCTCTCTCTCTCTCTCTCTCTCTCTCTCTCTCTCTTCACTCTCTTTCTCCTTTATTTCCCCCGCCTTCCCTCCTCCTCGCCATACCTGCACCATCACCGCCAGCCTCAGCGTGTCCTTGGCGATGTTGCCCTTGCACGTCTTGCAGGAGGCGCGGCCGCTCTTGGCATACTCGACGCGGTAAGGGAGGTCGTCCATGGCGCCCGCGCGGAGGGAGGCGACTGAGGCGCTGAGACTCCTCGCTCGCCGGGTGCGGGGACAGCGTTGCCAAGGCGGGCGCTAGGGGAAGGGACAGCGTTGCCAAGGCGGGCGCTAGGGGGATTTTCAGCGTTGCCAAGGTGGGTGCTGAGGGGCGAGGGCAGGGGGGAGGGGGGGTGGGATGAGTTGGTTGCGGTGGTTTTGTAGCGAGGTAGGGGGGGAGAATGGTTGGTAGCAGGGACAGGAGCGGTGGTTGGTTGTGTGGGGGGGAGGAGGAAGAATGCTTGGTTGTGGGGGTTTTGTAGCAGTGGTTTGCGGGGGGGGGGGGGAGTGGTGGTTTGTAGCTGCGGTTTTGTAGCGGGGAGAGTTGGTTGCGGTGGTTTTGTAGCGAGGTAGGGGGGGAGAATGGTTGGTAGCAGGGACAGGAGCGGTGGTTGGTTGTGTGGGGGGGAGGAGGAAGAATGCTTGGTTGTGGGGGTTTTGTAGCAGTGGTTTGCGGGGGGGGGGGGAGTGGTGGTTTGTAGCTGCGGTTTTGTAGCGGGGAGAGTTGGTTGCGGTGGTTTTGTAGCGAGGTAGGGGGGGAGAATGGTTGGTAGCAGGGACAGGAGCGGTGGTTGGTTGTGTGGGGGGGAGGAGGAAGAATGCTTGGTTGTGGGGGTTTTGTAGCAGTGGTTTGCGGGGGGGGGGGGGAGTGGTGGTTTGTAGCTGCGGTTTTGTAGCGGGGAGAGTTGGTTGCGGTGGTTTTGTAGCGAGGTAGGGGGGGAGAATGGTTGGTAGCAGGGACAGGAGCGGTGGTTGGTTGTGTGGGGGGGAGGAGGAAGAATGCTTGGTTGTGGGGGTTTTGTAGCAGTGGTTTGCGGGGGGGGGGGGGAGAATGGTTGGTAGCAGGGACAGGAGCGGTGGTTGGTTGTGTGGGGGGGAGGAGGAAGAATGCTTGGTTGTGGGGGTTTTGTAGCAGTGGTTTGCGGGGGGGGGGGGGAGTGGTGGTTTGTAGCTGCGGTTTTGTAGCGGGGAGAGTTGGTTGCGGTGGTTTTGTAGCGAGGTAGGGGGGGAGAATGGTTGGTAGCAGGGACAGGAGCGGTGGTTGGTTGTGTGGGGGGGAGGAGGAAGAATGCTTGGTTGTGGGGGTTTTGTAGCAGTGGTTTGCGGGGGGGGGGGGGAGTGGTGGTTTGTAGCTGCGGTTTTGTAGCGGGGAGAGTTGGTTGCGGTGGTTTTGTAGCGAGGTAGGGGGGGAGAATGGTTGGTAGCAGGGACAGGAGCGGTGGTTGGTTGTGTGGGGGGGAGGAGGAAGAATGCTTGGTTGTGGGGGTTTTGTAGCAGTGGTTTGCGGGGGGGGGGGGGAGTGGTGGTTTGTAGCTGCGGTTTTGTAGCGGGGAGAGTTGGTTGCGGTGGTTTTGTAGCGAGGTAGGGGGGGAGAATGGTTGGTAGCAGGGACAGGAGCGGTGGTTGGTTGTGTGGGGGGGAGGAGGAAGAATGCTTGGTTGTGGGGGTTTTGTAGCAGTGGTTTGCGGGGGGGGGGGGAGTGGTGGTTTGTAGCTGCGGTTTTGTAGCGGGGAGAGTTGGTTGCGGTGGTTTTGTAGCGAGGTAGGGGGGGAGAATGGTTGGTAGCAGGGACAGGAGCGGTGGTTGGTTGTGTGGGGGGGAGGAGGAAGAATGCTTGGTTGTGGGGGTTTTGTAGCAGTGGTTTGCGGGGGGGGGGGGAGTGGTGGTTTGTAGCTGCGGTTTTGTAGCGTAGCGGGGAGAGTTGGTTGCGGTGGTTTTGTAGCGAGGTAGGGGGGAGGGAGGGGGGGAGAATGGTTGGTAGCAGGGACAGGAGCGGTGGTTGGTTGTGTGGGGGGGAGGAGGAAGAATGCTTGGTTGTGGGGGTTTTGTAGCAGTGGTTTGCGGGGGGGGGGGGGAGTGGTGGTTTGTAGCTGCGGTTTTGTAGCGGGGAGAGTTGGTTGAAATGAGTAAATGGGTTGAATTTCTAGTGGGCTTTTTTCGAGGGATCCGTAGGTGGGTTTGTAGAAAGTGAGATGCCCAGCTCCGTAGCGAGTTTGTGCTAGGTCTCCGTGGGCATAGGCTAGTTTTATTTCTCCTGGAGAGGAATGGGGACGAGCCAGGTCATGGGGTTGACCTCATGATTGCTGGACGGAATTAGGTTGAAAAGTATGGGCTCTGTTTCCACGGCAATGGGGGGCCAAGTGGGGGATGCGCTCGATTTGAAATACATTTTTTACATTGCTTTGAGTTGGAGAATGACTCATCAGCTACGAGGTTTCAGATATCTTTTCTTTTTTAACATATATAAACAGGTTGAGGGTGCTTGAAATTTGTCTTCACCCGGGCCAAGACCAGTTCTTTAGCGAGTTTTGCATTATATCCGAGTAATGCAAGCGCTAAGTTTGGGATTATTCTAATACTATCTCGCTGTCTTATGCACAGAAATTATTATCAATAAGTACGAGGTTTGCAAGGTATAAAAGGTGGTTTCTTCGGCGTAATTAAGCTGAAATTGGTCGAAATCCGTCGCTGCATTAGTGCCGGGGCGGGTGAGGTAGAGTCAGCGTGCTCGGTCTGGTTATCGCATATTTGTCCTTTCATTTTTCTTTTGCACAAGATTCAGGTTGGAAAAAACAACAAAGATTCGTAAATGGGCAAGGCATTTAAGAAAAAAAGGTCATTGGGAGCATAAGAGTGGAGAGGGCGATAGATTCCTACTAGTTCGTATTTTCTCCTTTCATGTCTTAGCAAGTTTGTCCAGAGAAATGGCGGAACTTTTGAGATGAACTAAAGCTCCGTCAACAAGGTGGATTTTCCTGTATGTACATCGTGAGGTCAAAGAAAAGCTACCTTTAGGCTTGTGATTTTGAAAGGGTATTGGATAAAGATTTTCATTTTTTTTCTATAATGCACTTCTTTTGCTATTGCTTGCTATTAGGAGGCACTGTTGCCATAGTCAGCTTGCAAACCGGTCTATTTTTCCCCCTTTTAGGTTTTTCATAAGATCCAGACTAGAGAGAGGCAAAAATAATTATAATAATGCTAATATAATGTATTTAAAAACATTAGTATCATAAAAGTGGAAAAGTCAATAGATTCCCACCTGTTCGTCATTCCGCCTTTCATGTCTTAGCAAGTTTGTTCAGGAGAAAGCCGGGAAATTCGAGACCAAAATGTATAATGTTCGAAAATGATCCTTAGGATTTTCCTCCTCGCGCTTGGTTTAACAAAAAAGAAATGCCTCTTAGTTCTGAATCTTAGAGTGGGGGTTTTAGTACTTTTTAAAAAGAACTTTAATTTATTTAGTCTCTTCCGTCTTGATTGGGGGGGCAGTGTTGCCATAGTCAGCGCGATAGCAGCCGGTCAGGGTACCGAGAATGTGCTATTTCACCATTTTTCGGAATCCGATACAGGCAGCTGTTTTCTTTTTCTTGTTGTTGTTGTTGCTGCTGTTGTTGTTACTGTTGTTCTTATTATTATCATTATTATTATTATTATTATTATTATTATTATTATTATTAATATTATTATTATTATTATTATTATTATTATTATTATGATTATTATCATTATTATTATTATTATTATTCTCATTATCATTATTATTATTATTATTATCATTATTATTATTATTGTTATTAATATTATCATTATTATTATTATTATTATTATTATTATGATTATTATGATTATTATGATTATTATGATTATTATGATTATTATGATTATTATGATTATTATGATTATTATGATTATTATGATTATTATTATTCTCATTATTATTATTATCATTCTCATTATTATTATTATTATTATTATTATTATTATTATTATTATTTGCTAACCTACTGGTTGATGTGTACTAAGAAGTTATATGTTTCTATACTATAAATATACAATCATTTACGAGTAATTATCATTCTAGATCAAGAAAAAATACCTATCTAGAGAGGAGATGAGATATATATCTGAAACGAAATATATCTACGTCTTATTTTATCTTTTTTATTTATTCTTTATCCCCTTGGTTTATTAAGTTCGATTTTTATCTTCCATCTTCCAACTATTTGTGCGTTCTGACGAGATTTCAACAAATAAAGTTTAGTTAAGAAATGCATCCCACTATTTATATTACTATTGTCATTATTAATGTTATTATTGTTAATACTGTTACTATTCTTATCGTTATTATCATTATCATTATTGTTGTTGTTGTTGTTGTTGATGCTATTGTTGCTGTTATTGTCATTATTATTGTCATTATCATAATCACCATTATTATAATAATAACTATTATCTTTATTATTATCATCATTATTATTATCATCATCATTACTATTATTATTTTCCTTAATATTATTACTATCCTCATTATTATAACAATAACAACAACAAAACAACAGCAAAATAACAATGATATATATAATAATAAAAAATAATAATAATAATTATTATTATTATTGTTGTCATTATCATTATAGCAATAAAAATGATAATAATAATAATAATAATAATAATAATAATAATAATAATAATGATAATAATAATAATAATGATAATAATATTGACAATAATAATAACAGTGATTATAATAATAATAATAAGGGTAATGATAGTAATGATGATGATAATAATAATAATAATATTCTTATTCTTATTATTACTATCATTATTACTATCATCATCATCATCCTCATTATTATTATTATCATTAAGAGTGATCATACAACTAATGCTACTACTACTATGATAATAATAATGGTGATAATAATAATAACTACAATAATAACAAAACAGTAATAATAATAATAGCAATAGCGATCATAACAATAACAACAACAACAATAACAGTAAAAATAACAACAGCAACAATAACAACAACAACAATAACAGTAAAAATAACAACAGCAACAATAACAATAGCAACAATAACAATAACAACAATAACAGTAAAAATAACAACAGCAACAATAACAACAACAACAATAACAGTAAAAATAACAACAGCAAGAATAACAATAACAACAATAACTGTA